GACATGTCTGCATTTTTTTTTTTCTCAAATAGAAGCATGAAGATCTTTGAGTGAAATGGAGATCCATGGAGATCCAATCCAACATGCTTATTTTGTAGATAATGAAGTTTAAGCTCAGAAGGATTACACAACTGGTCCAAGGTCACACTGCTAGACAGAAAAATCTCTGGAAGTAGAAATCAGGCCCCCCAGTTCTGTACTTTCTCCTCCACCAAGAATCTTACAAAACAGGGTGGCTGGATCCTAGATCATCTCAACAGTGACTGCATAGTGTGCTTTGCCATGAGAAGGGTAATTTCCCTAACTTTTGTTTCTTATGTGTAGAATGGGGACAGTAAAGTTGCTACAGTGGCAATGCAGATGTAAAAATAGTTAGCAAAAACACAAAATGTGTCTTGAATTACAGATCCTAATGTCTTTGTGGTACAAGAACCTCTTAGACGCTCTTCTGTATGACCACTGTACTGTTATGAGAACTCAGTATTTCACTATTCGGAACTTCCGAAAAACTGTTTCCAAACCTAGAATCTAGAACTGGAGGTCAAACCCTACTGTCAATAAAGAACTCTTACTTTAATATCCTGACAAAAGCTTTTAGGTTTCAGTGTAGGCCCTGCAAAGTCATTTTCATTGCTTGGACTTCTTATATCCCAAGAGTCCCTGTACCAATTAAATGGAACCCTTATTCACTTACTGCTCAGAGTGATGTTTCCATCACCCAGCATTTCTTCTCAGATATGGCAAGTCCTCTGGGGGTACTGGCATGTGGAGGAAGGTGAAAAATGCCATCCCAGCTAGAGTGGGCAGAAATGGACTTGATAAACATTCAACACTCCTAGGACAGCAAAGGATTAGGTCTTCTGATAAAAAGAGAACAGTGAGGAGCAGAGGCCAATACTGAGCTTCTTAAGGCTTCCTGTTTTTTCAGGAACCAATTCCGGCTCCTTTTCTATTTTTAAGTCAACAATCACAAAGTTAGTTATTTATATATAGAACGGTTTAAACAAAATATTTGTTCATAATTTCTGCAAGAAAACCTGAAGAGAAAAAGCACTATCCTATCATTTACTGCCATCATTAGTGAAATTTAGGTCCCGGGGGGGATGTTTTGAGGTTGAGGTTCCAAGATACAGATACCCTAAAAGGGAAACGGGAAAGAGTTCTCACCCCTGCAGGTCTCAGCTGGTACTTCTGGAGCAACACACATCACAACACGGTGGCTGACCGCACTCTTCTCTACTGTGTTCTAAGGTCACCCTGCCACTAGGTCCTACACACAGTGAAACTTTGGTAAAGAGCTGGAGGGTTTCTGGTGTGCATGGGTGTGCCTCCTTTCAGGCTTCGTAGGGACAAAGTAGCAGATCTCTTATCTCAAAGGACAGGCTGGCCAACAATTCCTCTGACCGACAAGGCCTCTCTCCTCCACTTCCCCCGCTCATCTACCACCCCACCCCCAACCGCCAACCCCAGGAAATGCGGCCGAATTTAACCCTGCTTTCGCCTTTTCTCCGACCTGGTGAAGTCGGGATCCGTTTGCTTGGTGTAGCCACGCCAATCAGTGCCCCGGGTCCCCCGGCTGAGGCACAGAGGTGGCGGGCTGAGGGATGGTGCAGGGCCGTGGCGATGCGGCCGGATTCGGGCAGGGTCTGCTATTGTCGGAGCGGTTTCCCTCCGGGGCTCGGCTGTGCCGCGGGAGCCGACGGGAGGTGGCAGCGAACGCGCTTTCTGGGCCGGGCCAACAGCGCGCCTGTGGGGTCCCGGGAAGCCAAGCAGGGGCGCAGGGCGGGCGATAAGTGTGACTCCGGCACCGAAAAGGGGGCGAGGGTCCTCGCGGCCGGCCCCCGGCGCCTTGCCCTTCCCAGAATCCTACCCAACTCGAGAAACCCAAAGATTCCGAAAATCCCGAAAGCGAAACTGCAAGCAGGTCTTCAGAAGTTTGGGAACGGTCTCCCAGGCTTCCCGGCGTCGTCTCCGCACTCCTGACACAAGCGCCGTCAAGAACGAGGGCCCTTGCGAGCGGCGATCGTCCCCCTCGGCGTCCCCGGGCCACCTACACCGGCCTTTTACGTGTAAAGGTCCCCAGACCCGCCGCCGGAGCGCCCCGAGTCCCCGACCCCGGTCCAGGCGGTGGTCGGCCAGCTCCTGCAGCGCCTCGGTTCCTGCCTCCTCCCAATCCTTCCCCCAAGAAAGGGAAACTTGGGCCCTGCAAGAATACTGTGGAATGTTCTTTGTAATCGGTTGTTTGTTCGCCTCTACGGCACGGCGCGGTGTAAAATAGCGGGTTTTTGGGGCGTTAGAGTGAATTGTGCGCTTGTCAGCAGCGACGTCAGGAGGACGAGGGGAGGGGTTCCCAGCTGCAACCGCAGTTTACAAGCACAGAGCCATTTTAGGCTGGTTTCCACTTCTGCGAAGCCCACGATGGAGCTTGTTCCCGGAAGGATGCGCGGGAAGCGCAGACTGGAAGGGCCAAGGACGCGCCGCGCGCTCGTCCCCGTAGATGGAATGCGTCCCGGCTGGACTGCAGCCGCTCAGCCTCGCCGCCCAGGTGGGAGGGAAAATCTGCCGCGGGGTCACCAATCCTGGTGACGCGTCTCCGACGCCACCCCTCCAGGAACTGCGAAACAGGCCTCTCCGACAGCGCGGCGTCCGTCTAAGGGGACATGACGAGCTGACCCGTTGAGTCCTCTCCAGGCCCCCGCAAATGCCCAGAAGCCACGTTACTGCGGTGACCACTGACCTGGCCAACACTATTTTTTAACCCTATGATTTTAAAAAAGTCTCAGCTAGCTTGGCCGAGGCGCCATCAGGTTCATCCACCCAGATTAGGTTCCCCAGTCCTGCCCTCGCCGGGCCCGGGGACCGCGCGCAGCCGCCGCACGCCCCCCGTCCCCGGTCCCCCCCGCTGGCTCCGCCGCGCGACCTCCGCTCTGCAGCTGCGTCCTGACCACTGGCGACCCCTGTTGGGGACCCCTGTTCCCAGCTGAGTAAGCTCGGATTTGCTTGCTCTCCCTCGGGCTCGCGTTACAGGCTCCGACTTTGCCCCCAAAATTCCACTCCCAGACCCTCAGGAACCCGGATGCTCGTCCATTTCCCCGCCATCTCACCGCCCACTCAAACCCCAAGGCGACAGACACGACGGATCGCCTTCCACAGCCAGAGGATACCCCTCTCAGACCAGCCCTCTCCAAGCAAGGACCTGAGCAAGGGATACTTTCTTCCCAGAACGCTTTCCCCATCCCCCACCTTCCTAGAGCGCAACTCCAAAAGCAACCTCCCCGTCTCGACCCCGCACACTTTTCCGCCGAGGTACGCGCACCCATGCCTTTCCACAGGTCCACTATACCCTCCGCACGCCTCCCACCCACTACGGTGCGATGGGTAGCCGGAACCCACCGCCAAGTACGGCGTGCCCCCTGCACACACAAACCACCACAGGCTTCTGCAGCCCGACTGCACGCAATACCCCGGACTAAGGTTTGTCGTTTTCATGGGCACCTCCCCACTTCACCTACTCTGGGATTCACTCGCACAGGATCCAGCGCACAGAGAGAGCTCGGCTCCTAGAAAGTCGAAATAAATCATGTCCTCAGCCCTCATGGGTTTTATACCACGTGTCAGCAGTTTGTCACGTAAAATCATGGCAAGCTCTGCTTCCAAGAAGCACACACACATTCGGGATGGACCTCTTTGACACCCACCTCCTCCGCCCAGCTGTACACACAGGTACGCGGCGCGATCCAAAGGTACACACGCAGGACTTGTGCTTGGATGCCCTAGTCTGGGCCATCGGCACCCCTTTCCCTCCAGCAATGGACTGGACACACAGACTCTAACCACGGAAAAAACTGGGACGGCTCATTTCCTCCCTTTTTACCCACTTAATTCGATAAAGCTGCTCCTGGAGCAGCCAAAGAGAGTCGAAACGAAGGGATGGCAACTTTGGTTGGGTTTTTTCCCACCTCAAAACCTTTATTTTCAATTTTTAAAAGCCACCTTAGCCCGCCATATTGAAACTGACACGGTCTCTAAATACTCCTTCCCCGCAGTTGCGGCGCTTGCAAGAAAACACAAGTACGGATCGGCTCTGGATGTGCGTCCGGCCACCCGAGTCTACCACTTCCCACCTCCCACACCACCACCAACACCAGGCTCCCTCTTCCCGGGTTCATCCCCTCCCGCAGACCGGAGTCAAAATCAGTAAATGTATCTAGCAGTTCCTACAGCTGTTTTTTGGCGGATTTTAGCAACACATGCACACATTTAAAAAAAAAACAAAACCCAAAGCCAGAACATATTAGTAATTGTGAAAGGAGGTCATATGAGAGTAGACAACAAGAAAGCCCCAAGTGACGGGGTATTACTTTAAACCAAAAAAAGAACAAAAAGATCATCCATGCCGGAGCACACTCCGAAACTACTAGTGACAATTTCATTTCAGCTGCCCAAGGCAAACGTTTCCAAAAGGGGCCATTCCGAATGTGTAGACTGTTTTACCCCCTGTATGGTTGGTCCCCAGTCCTCACCCCACCACCTACCCCCGCCCCCAACATACACACGCACACACGTACCAAAAAGAAGAAAGAGACCCCGGCGACGAGGAGAGCGGGCAGCGCGGGGCAGCCAGGGCGGCTGCGTTGAGAAAATGAGCGCACAAATGAGGAAGGTGGGAGGCGGGGAGGGGGCAGTTTACAACTACGGACGGACTCCTGGCAAGGCCGGGCTGTTCACAGCCGAGGGACAAGAGGGAAGGAAAAATGACAACCCAGCGCAGAGCGGAGTTTGCGGCTTTGCTCAAGTGCTGCTGCTTTCTCCTCCGTCTCCTCTTTCGCTCCCCACCCTCAGCAACCCTCTTCTTAACCCTACCGCGCCCAGGCTGCCTCGAGCTTCCCTATTTCTCTGAGCTGGTAAAAAGACGCTGACCGGCGCACTCAACCTGCGGGCCGGAGGGCTGCGGGCGCGGCGGGCTGGGCGCGAGGACGGGGGCCAGCGCGGCGTCCTACCTGGTGAAGTTCTCCTTCCTCCAAGCGGACCCAGGCCCCCGGCGCCGCCGAGGGGGCCGCCGGCCTCGCCCGCCCTCGCGGCCTCGCTCCGGCTCGCTGGGCCCGACTCGCTCCCGCCCGCCGCCTCCCTCGCGCGCCCGCTTCGGTGCTCCGACTTCCACTACAGCCTCCTTCCAATATGGCATCCTCTGTGTGCGCATGCCCGGCACTCTTTTTTAAGATTATTATTTTGTGTGTGTGCAGCCAACTCCTTCAGCGACCTTTTCCAGCGCTCGCGGAATACCTAAGCCAATTAGTCTACCAGCGGTTCTCCACTCCTTCCTCTGCCCCCGCTGTGACGCCCTCGCGCCCGGGCACATAGCACCCCCCCATCCCAATCACAATTCACGCTCCCACTGTCCCTCCCGCCCGGCTCCCCGTCCTCGTCCCTTCAGCTCCCTCCATACACAATCTGCAGAAAGTTCACATCACAGGCGTTTCCGCAAACTCATCCGCAGGGAAATCTGACCAAACACCGCATCTCACTGGACACTTTGTTTCGTGGGTTTGCAGTCCCTGTCGAACAAGCGCACAAACTTGCGCTTTATCCGCCGCAGGAGCATTGGGAGCGCAGCGAAATTCAATCCGCAGGGCCACCACGGCCCCGCCCACGGCGCCCCTCCCTCCCTCCCTCCCTCCCTCTCTCCGGCCCTTAAACGGAGTCTTTTCTATGGAGATTCGAACGTTTCCTGGCCCCTGAGGGACAGCGGGAGGGGGCCGGGGAGAGGTTTCCCCGGGAAACGTGCCCCAAGAGGGAGGAAATTAAGTTTGGGCCGCTCGGGCTAGCTGGCAGCAGCGATCTGCCGAGCCCGGGCGGAACGCGGGTAGCAGGGGTGACCACGGCGTCTCCCGGAGCAATGCCCGGGCCTGGGCGTCCGAGGACGGCACCTGGCCTGGCCTGACCGGCTGCGTAGGGCGGGCAGAGAATCCTGCCCGAGAACGTGGCCCTTGGCGACTGCTGGGGCGCAGGAGAGGCGGCGCGGCCAGGGGCGGCAGGGCTTGCAGCCGGGGTGTGCACAGCCGCGGGCTCTGGGCCTGGGGCATGGGGGAAGGACAAAGTGCAGTTCGCAGGCCAAACGCGCAATGGCTGGGCCGTCTGAACGAAATGCGCCCGGTTGCGGAAAAGCTTGCGACGCCTGCGAGGGCAAGGCCTAGAACTTCCGAAGGTGGGCTTCCCTGTACGGACGAGCCGGAGCTGCTGGTTGATGGTGGGAGCTTACTTTACACGGAAATTGAGCACGGACACGTTTCGTCAGGGGTTTTTCCCCCGTTGCCACCGGGGGTAAAATTCCTACGTCCCCCAACTCTACGTCCCTCTCTTTCTCACGAACCCTTCAGACCCAGGGGCTCCCAGAGCCTCCGCGCGTTCGAAGCTCCACCTACCCTCCCACAGACCTCCCTCCAGCGCCTTCTCCAGGACCGAGGAACCCCCGTAAATGAGGCCCCCGGCAGTGAAATGGATGTCCTGAAGGGCGAGGGACAGGATGGGGACTCGGGGACGGAGTCAGGCGGGCAGAGTCCGGCCGCGCGCGGGACAGGAAAGGGTCCTGTTAGGGGGTCGTCTCCCCGACGGCGGACCAGAGCTGGAATAGAAGAACAGCAGTAGGGATGTGCCCGGAAACGCCTGTCGCCACGACGTGGGGAGCGCCCCTCCACAAAAACAGCCGGAGGAGCTCGGACATCCTGGGCGGCTCGTCGGCAGTGAGACCCCCGCGCACGTCCAGTCCAGTCGGGGGAAACCGTACCTCCTGATATCTTAGCGCTTTGCAAGGTCTAAGACGCCTTCCTCCGTCGGGTCACATCCCCGTTTGAGCTACCACCTAAGACGCGGAAAACTCCCTTTCAGAGAGTTAAAACTCCAGCCGGAGTCTGCATGCCGTCCAGCTTCCGGGTCCCCTCCTCTTGGGACACGTAGGTGGAGCCCCGAGCCACCGAGTAAGTGAAAGGGCTCCTCGAACCACCCGCCACCCCCGTCCCTGCACATTAGGCCTCCCACCCGCACCCCGAAACTGCCTCCCTCTGTGCCCTGAGACACCCCAGAGTGAGTCTGATAAGCGCGCTGTGGCTCCAAGGAATCCAGAATATGGACTCCAGTCTCCTTGTCTCACAAAACCAAGTCACCTCGCTCCTTCAACAGAGACTGGCCGGTAGGGAGGGACGGGCGCGGGGGACGGTCCCAATTCTAGGTGGACTTACAGCGCAAGAGATCCAACCCGCGCGCCCTTTGCCTGGACGGGATCACCCGCTGGGGCACCACCAAAGCGCAGAGCGCGCCCAGAAGGACCTGAGCGGCGACCCCCCGCCGCGGTCAATACCCGTTCGGGGCCAGCGCTGGTCTCCGCGGTGGCCGTGACCCTGCAGGGAAACGCCGGGAGCGCCCCTCCCACGTGCGTCGCGGACCTCTTGGGCCCGCTCAGTCCCCCGGAGTTGGCAGAGGATCGCTCCTAGCGCAGGACTCCGGGCAGCTCGTGTTTAGAACGAGAGCGCAAATTCTATTTCCAAGAACTGTGACAACGTGAGCGGCCGCCCGCCATTGCGCCGTCATCAGGCTTGTTTACCAATTTTAAGTCTTTATCATGCAGGAAACGTGATTTCATCAAAGTAGAAAATAAACGCAAAAGAATGCCCAGCCCCTAACTCGAGGACTTGTGTATCCATTATCTCGGGATTCCTCCAAAGTAGGTGAGTCTCTTTATGTTTTTGATACTTAGACCCCTGCACAACTTTGCCCACGTGTCTAGAAAATAGGAAAGAGAAATGAGATTTTTTGGTACCCCTCGTGATTAAGAAGTAAAATCACTAAGCCACGGCACACAGTGGTTAATTGGCACCGCAGTCTCCATGTTGTCCATGGTGAAATTTCTCCAAGCTTGAAGTTCAGTAATCTCGTTCTTACGTGTTGCTTTTTCACGTGACTTCTGGAACATTCCTTCGCTATTTCACATGCTCACTCCATTCTCCTATATCCAAGGTACACCAATGAGACAAATGGAAATTGGCTAAGACTCCCTGAGGCAATTAAAGCAGCCCCTTTATCCCACTTCAATACCTTCCAACTTTCATTTTTATTTCAGAACCAGACACTTGAGGGATATAGATATCCAGATGTAGAATCCACCCTAAATCAATTAAAGATGAAGAAACAAAAATCCAACATAGTTAGCTAAGGATAAAGCCTTGGTACAAATTGTGAACGTTTCAAGATAAAGAAGGCATAATACATTCCAACTCAGAGAAATCTGACCTTGCTAATCGCCTGATTAACACAAGATTTCTTTATGTATTGTTGACATTTACAAATCTTGGCAAAAGTAAGCCTTGATCATATCAACTGACTATAACTGTTAACTTCATTCCTAAACAACAGCGAAACCATGCAATAATCACTTTAAAAATGCACCTACATATCTAAGTTTTGCCTTCAAAAGAACTTTGGAATTCTTCATATGAATTAGGCTAAATTATATATAATATTAAAAGTATGTTAATTGGAAAATAAATATTATTTCCATTTGCTTGATGATATAGCATAAATTAGGAATAGAAAACAGTTCAACAGTTTCCCTCATATTCTGTGTGTCCCCAAGTGTTACTTTGCAAAAATGATTAGTTGAAAATGATATGCATATCATTTATTTTATTTATGTTAAAGACATATGATTGCCTAAATCTTACTGCAATAATCTTCACACCAAGAAAAATGTGGTCAGTTTGCTCATAATTATTCCATGTTTAAGGTATCATTGCCCACTGGGAAAAGGAGTTTTCCTAAAGAAGATGAACTGTTATGCTTTCTTAATACAGGGCATCTCTGATGATAGACATACTAACTTAGTGAAAAAAAGCAGCAAGGGTGCAAAAATGCCTCCCCAAAACCCCCTGAAATACCTGAATATTTGAAGAATGTGTGCAATCTCTCTTTACTGGAACCTCAAAACTTAAATGTGTCATCTTTTAGGCTACATACTGTTTTTCCATCATCCTCCTAAGGTCATCAAGAGTGCAAGACTCTTCTCCCCTTATTTTTTCACCCCCTTCCCTTATCCTCTATCCCACCCAGTTCAAGCACTCAGCTTCATATTTGGGAGTCAAATGACCTCATCACTGCTTAGGCACTAATTTCCTATATGACTTATGTAAGTCAGATGACATCTTTGAGCCCATCATTTCTCATGGGTAAGATGAGGAGATTTGACTAGATATTCTGCATGGTCCTTTCAGACTCTAAAGAGTGTTTATTAGTCTATCCCAGCCCAAAGCCATTTGCTTTCTGTAATATTCTAACACCATCTCAACCAATTTGAAAAACCCAAGGTGTAAATTCTATGGTCACAAAGAAGAAAAAAAAAAAAAGAAGGGCAAAGGGGCTTCTTTGCCCTAGTGTCCTGCAGTCAAGTGTTGCTCTAATTCATAATTCTGCCCTGTCTGGATTACTGCTCGATTTACTGTGTTTTTGCTGTGTGGGTTTTGGGTTGCCTATAATAGCATCAATAGCATTGAGCCCCGGCCAGAGTACCTGGTAGTTTTGGGGAAGAAAGGCCTGAGGTGATAGAGATCATTGTTTAAATGGGTGACAAGTGCTAAATGAGTGGCATGGTGAACAGTGGTTCACAGCGATGTCACCTATCAGAGCACTTTCTCATACATGTCTAGAAGTTTCAGAAACCTACTATTCTCATATAATTTGAAGGAGTTTCAGGCTTCCTTGACAGCACGAGAAAAAATAACAGTGCACAGGGCATAAAAAACAGCGCATGATGTCTGGACTCCCCTCTGACGTTTATTTAGATGTAGATGGATTACACATGGAAGCACCCGTTATGACTCACAGCTTCTTTCTCCACGCAGGAAGGTGAGCATCCTGAGCAAAGTCCTGCCCAGCTTCCCAGGTTACTTGTAGAGCTTGGGTGTCTTAGTATTAGACACTTCACTTATGAAATTTGTATTATATTAGGCAGAGTATTTTAGATCTTGAAGCCTTGCTTCCAGCCCTTTTCAGAGGTGAGGAAGCTGGAGTCCAGAAAAGTGGAAAGACAGCTGTCTCAGGCAAAGTTACAGAGCAGGGCCTGGCCCTCAAGTATTGGCCTTTATTCCTCCACTTGTCATAGACAGGAGAGTGCGGCAGGATTTACTTAGCACCTGTCTTGTGCCAGACACTCTGCTAAGAGTTTTTACATACATGATAGCATTTAATATATTCTAGTCTATAGTATGTGTAATATCTCTTTTAAACAGTTTTAAAATGTGTTTTAATATTACATTTATATACAAAGCTGGATTCTGATCCAGTGTCAGTATATGCATGCATATGTCATGTTTTTGTCATGGAGCTGAACTTGTCTGTAATCATTTACATTCTCTATGATCAAGAATATTTATTGAGTAAAACACACACACACACATCAAAAAATAGCATAGGTCAAGGATGTGGTTTATGACCCTGGAACAGTTTTCTGTCTGTACGTTAACTGGCCTGAATAAAATTGAATTTGACACTGTGCAAATGTATGAAGAGGCCCATTGGATTTAGAGCATAAAATAGACTAAAATTAAATAGGCAACCAAAATCCTACATCATAAAGTGGGTTTCACATATAAGCAAGTGGACAATTTTTGTTATATGCACCTTCTACCTTAATAAATACCCAACAAAGAGAGGAAGTATCAGTGCTGGGAAACAGTACAATCCAGCTTTATTATAGCTTCAAAATCCCCAACCTATTTGTTTTCGCTGTGTAAGTCACTGTAGATGCTCTTACTGCAGAATAGGTAATTACTATCATGATACGACAAGTTAATAGACCTATAAAGAATTGATTTGCAGTGCCATCTACTGGAAACTGACTTGCTTTCAGATTTTTTATATAGTTCATTGTTTTTAACAGAAAGAGTGTTGGGAATACTTACACCAACATACTGATACCAACGGTAAGAGGAGACTTAGGTCCTGACCATATTTGGTTACAGATAACCATTGGGAAGCTCTAGTTTTAAATAAACTGAAATATATTCATATCAAATCATTTTACAATAATATATAGAGTAGTTTCATGTTTCTTTGAAAAGTAAAATCTCTTCCAGTTTTTAAAATGAGTCATTACAACCAGCTTTGTAGTAGAGCGCTGTGATTTTTCGATCTTTCTCTTATCCCCTTAAGAGATTTTTACACTTGTAAATGCCTCTGAAATAGATACAGTTGATGAATTCTTGGAGGTTTTAGTGTTACTGTCATACCTTGTAGGGGAGGCACAGAAAGATGCCTCAAGGTTGCTCAAACCCATTTCTTGAAGATGTAAATACTTTTTTAATTACATAGAGAAGAAAATTAACTAATGATAAATAAACAAACTGCTTACATTTATTCTTTCAACAAATATTTATTGAGTACTTCCTGTGTGCAAGGCACTATTCTAAGGTCTGAAATAAAAAGTTTTGCCTCATAGTATTTATTTTTTATCAAGGAGAGCTCCACAGTAAACAAATGAATATATAGCATGTCACAGGGAGAGTAGTACAATCAAAAAGAAAAAAGCAGGGGAAGGTATAGAAAGTGACAAGAAGGTGAAGGAGGGTTGACATGTTACATGGAAGGGGGCAGGGAGTTCTCTCTCATATGGTGACAGTTGTGCATGGTCTTGATGAGGGGAGGGGAGTACTCCAGAGGGGACAGGAAGTGCAAAAGCCCTGAGGTTGTCTTGGCTCCATTTTAAAGAGAGAATAAACTATGTAAAAGGTTGATATTTAACAGCATAAGCATAAGCTTTTATAATGTTTTTCATAGGATTGAGGGAATTTTTGGAGATACAATATACCCAGTAACTGGTACAGAGTTTTGACTTGGATGCTAAAAAAAATTTCCTTTAATCCTCCTTTTTTGTTTAGTTAGTAATATTATTATTAATAATAAGCTTATTACCTATAAAACAGTAATATGCTAATAAACTAATTAACAATAGTAAACTAAGTTTATGTATAATTATATAATTAAGTTTATATGTAATTATATAATTGTAAATATATAATTAATAATATATAATATATGTAATTAATAATAATAAACTAAGTTTCCAATTCTAGCCCAAATCATGAGTCAAAGAAAGCCATAGAAACAGGCATGCTGTAAGGCAATGCTATAATCCAAGTCATTGTAAGTTATTGTCTGTTTTTATTCCAGGCATTGTGCTAGGCACTATTTGCTTTCAAATTTGTACACTTGTTTCAAACTGCTTTGGGCACTTAGAACAGAGCTACACAGATTTAATGTATGTCTCATATGTCTTGGAAATCTTTTGTTGGTATGCTTTTAGCTGCTAAAAAGAAGAAAAGAAAAAGAATATCTGTAAAACCAGGAAAAGCTTTTTGTCTCTCCACTCTAAGGAGCATAAATCACCTTGAATGAGTCAATATTTTCTAGTTTAAAAAAATACCAGTTTTTTCCTCTTCATTGCACTTGTCAACTAAAAGCTTTTGACAAATTTTTAGTAGTGAAAAAAACTTGTATCTAAAGATCAGAACCCGAAGCTGATATTTCCCACGGAAATTTGTACACAGGAGCTCACTGAATGTCTATGGAATTCCCTGTTGGCTCTGGCATTGACCTGCCAGTGGAGTGATGTGCCTCCCTCTCCTGTCTAGTGAGTGTGAATGTATACACCTTCAGAAAGATTGAGTTCTGTCACTTT